CCCAGGCTGGAGCGCAGTGGCGCGATCTCAGCCTGAGCCGCCGCACCCAGCCTTTTTTTTTTTTTTTTTTCCCGAGACAGAGTCTCACTCTGTCACCCAGGCTGGAGTGCAATGGCGTAACTTCGACTCACTGCAACCTCCACCTCCCGGGTTCAAGCGATTCTCCTGCCTCAGCCTCCCAAGTAGTTGGGATTGCAGGCATGCACCACCACGCCTGGCTAGTTTTTTGTATTTTTAGTAGAGATGGGGTTTTGCCATGTTGGACAGACTGTTCTCAAACTCCCCACCTCAGGTGATCTGCCTGCCTCAGCCTCCCAAAGCGCTGGGATGACAGGCGTGAGCGACCGCGCCTGGCCATTTGCTCTGATCTTGTATGGCATCCAGGAGGACAAGTGCAGGAGACAATTGGAAACCGAATCCATGAGCTCAGAGATCCATTTCAGTCTCTTCTCTGGAGAAGCTCAGAGGACCTCCCCGCCCCCAAGGGTGAAAAGAGAGAGGAGTTCCAAGGACACCCTCCTTCCCAAATGCCTGTCACTTTCCATTTTCCTGCCTTGGTTCCCACTCCTCCCTCCTCTTGTCCAAAGGTGGCTCATGCCTGTAATTCCAACACTTTGGGAGGCCAAGGCAGGCCGATCACGAGGTCAGAGTTCAAGACAGCCTGGCCCACATGACGAAACCCCGTCTCTACTAAAAATACAAAGATTCGTGGCCGGGCGCGGTGACTCGAGCCTGTAATCCCAGCACTTTGGGAGGCCAAGAGGGGCGGATCACGAGGTCAGGAGATCGATACCATCCTGGCTAACACGGTGAAACCCCGTCTCTACTAAAAAATACAAAAAACTAGCTGGGTGTGGCAGTGGGCGCCTGTAGTCCCAGCTACTCGGGAGGCTGAGGCAGGAGAATGGCATGAACCCGGGAGGCGGAGCTTGCAGTGAGCTGAGATTGTGCCACTGCACTCCAGCCTGGGCAACAGAGCGAGACTCCATCTCAAAAAAAAAAAAAAAATTTCGCTAGGCGTGGTGGCGCGTGCCTGTAATCCCAGCTACTCGGGAGGCTGAGGCAGGAGAACTGCTTGAACCTGGGAGGCAGAGGTTGCAGTGAGCTGAGATGATGCTACTGTACTCCATCCCAGACGACAGAGCAAGACTCCTTTTCAATAAATAAATAAATAAATAATGTCTAAGAATAATCACAGGCCACAGCAACATGTGAATGAATGCTCAATGCTCACCCAGCCCTAAGCCAGTGGTCAGTGTGTCAATGGAGGGACACTTGCCAATGTTGGGACATCTGTGGTTGTCACAACTTGGAGGTGCTCCGGATGTGGAGTGGGTGGAGGCCAAGGATGCTGCTCACCACCCTGCAGTGCCCAAGACAGCCCCACCCTAGAGAAAGATCCAGCCTCAAATGCCCACAGTGCCTCCTTGGTGCCTGTCCCATTATCTATCTAATTTAACAGTTAAGAAATTGAGAGGGAGAATTTCAGAGAGGGAAAGCGATTAGCTCAAGGTCACACAGCAAGGATGACATAACCAAACTGAATTCAAGCCCCTGTCGCCTGTCTGCTGGGTCATCGTTCTTAAATTCTGGCTCTGGAAGTCCTCGGTTTTTTTGTTGTTGTTGTTTGTTTTTGTTATTATTTGTTTGTTTTGCAATGGAGTCTCGCTCTGTCACTCAGGCTGGAGTGCAGTGACGCCATCTCGGCTTACTGCAACCTCTGCCTCCCGGGTTCAAGCAATTCTCCTGCCTCACTTCTTGAGTAGCTGGGATTATAGGCGCCCGCCATCACACCCAGTTCATTTTTGCATTTTTAGTAGAGACAAGGTTTCACTATGTTGGTCAAGCTGATCTCGAACTCCTGACCTCAGGTGATCCGCCCGCCTCGGCCTCCCAATGTGCTGGGATTAGAGGCATGAGCCACCGCTCCTGACCTCCAGGGCTCCTTCTAAAATGCCAGCTGCCTGCAAGGGTCTTGGCTGTGCTCCCAGAGTCTCCAGGCCTGCGAATGCTGCGTGGCATCCAGTAGGTGCTCAATAAATACTTATTGCACGAAGGAGCATCTCCCCCAAGTGTTCATCTGATGCATATTTGCGGAGCACCTGCCGTGGGCCAGGCACTGGGTACGCGGCAGTGACCAAGAGGAACCCAAGGCTCCTCCTGTGCTGGAGGAGCTGCGGTCCCAGGAGTGGCGGAAATGGACCAGAAATGGCTAGAGAATGTCAGAGCTGCGCCAGGGCCAGCTAGCTCTTTCTGTGTCACAGTTTTATTGTGCGCTTACTGTATGCCAGGCACTGGTCGACTGAGTGCTGCGCAGGTAGTACTTCAGCATCCTCCCAGTAACCCTCCGCGGTAGGAACTATTTATTATGAAACCCATTTTAGAGAGGAGGAAGGTGAAGTCCAAAACTGGTAAGTCTGTTGGCCCAGTCATATAGGCAGGAAAGGCTGGGGCAGGGGCGGGGTGCTGGATTCAAATTCAGGTGTGTAGGACTGCAGATCCCCATTGGCGAATGAATGAACAAATGAGTGATTGAATGAATGAATGGGTGAGTCAATGGGTGAATGAATGAACGAATGGGCATGCCAATGAATGAGCAAATGAATGCGAGAATGAATGGTGCGGGAATGAACAAATTAATGAATGAGTGGTGAACGAATGAATGAATGGGTGTGTGAACAAATGAATGGATGAGCCAACAAATGAATTAACAAATGAGTGAATGAATGCAGGAGTGAGTGAATGCAGGAAGGAATGGTGTGGGAATGAAGGAATGGTGTGGGAATGAATGAATGGGTGATACAAGAATGAACGAATGAACAAATGGATGAGCCAGTGAATGAATGAAAGGGTGAGCAAATAAATGGGTGAAGGAATGAACGAGTGGGTGAACGAATGACTGAGTGAATGAACGAATGAATAAACCAATGAACGAATGAGTGAGTGATGAATGGCTGAGCCCGTGAATGAATGAACGAGCGAATGAATGAATGAGTGAATGAAAGGGTGAGCGAATAAACAAATGGATGAATGAACGAATGAACAAGTGAATGAAATGAAGTGAATAAGTGAATAGAACGAATGGGGGCGTGAAGAATGAAAGGTGAAGCGGAATAAACAAAATGGTGGAAGGAATGAAGACAAGTGGTTGATCGAATGAACTATGTGAATGGAACGAATGAATAAGTGAATGAACGAACGAATAACGTGAATGAACGGAATGGTGAGTGATGAATGAATGGAATGGTTGAACGAATGGAGTGAGTGAATGAGAAAAGCTGTGAGTGGCAGAGGCCCCTGCCGGCCCGCTGGCGGTGCGAGGCCTGCGGAGCCCGGAGCACCTGCGCGCCTTGGCGGACTCGGAGGTGGCGGGAAGATGGACGCCCGGCGGGTCCCCTGTGAGATGCATGCCAGCGGCTTGCGCCGGGTGAGGGAACCG